GTAAGATCTCTGAATAAAAAAATGAGGTTATCGTTGCCATAATAACGTGAATTAAGCAAGTAGTAGTGCTGATGTATTTGGTCACGACTAAGTCCCTTCCTCGTCTCTTCTTCTTTCTTATTTCTCCATAATGATTTTGGGCAACACGACCACATTTGAGTCCTTAAGAGAAAGCGTTTTCTTCTTCTGTCAAATCACCCATTTGAGGAAGATCTGAGACAGCTTCCTCTGTTAAAGACTCTCAGGTAAACAGAGCATCCTTAAGTTTATTGTCGGAATGTTAAAGGATCCAATTTCGATGCTAGATTAGAGATGTTTTTGGATTTGAAAGTTTGAAATTGAGCTAGTGGTTTAGATCATTTACTCTTTTGGTGGGGTTTTATGGAACAATGATCGTTGCCTTTTTGATGATGAGATTTGTTGTTGAAGCATAGATCTATTGATGATTTGTTTATTACGAGTTAATGTGTTTGTTTTCTTTTAATTCATGATCTATGTAACAATGACTTGAAGATTTGAGCATTATTATTAACTGTTGTTTGTTCTCTCTCAGGTCCGGTGGATATTCCTATCATTAGACAATGGCGTCTAATAATCATTACACAAAGAGTCGATCCAATCTATCAACGAACTCCTGAATCAGCACCCTTCTGTGGCATTTGCCCAGAGGACTTCTTCTGGGCGTTATGTCAACTACTCTACTCGAGAGATGATCTCGATAGTGAACTCGGAAGTGTTGATCTCACTATCTATACGGTTCAGATTCCGCAAACTCCTGATCACCAGCCAATGGATCCATCCATCTCTCAGAAGGTTGAGGAGCAGTACATGTTTGTTCACGGGAGGTTTTAACAGTGTGACTCGGGCTCATCTTATGGATAAAGTGATTGACCCGCAGATGGCTGGTGCGAAAGGATCGTCTTGTGCGATTCCTGGTTGTGATGTGAAGGTGATGAGAGAGGACAAGACCTTCTTCCTTTTGAATGTGATTTCAAAATCTGTAGGGATTGCTTTGTGGATGCTGTGAATACAGGTGGGATGTGCCCTGGGTGTAAAGAGCCTTACAGGAACAAAGATTTGACGGATTTAGCTGATAACAACAATAGGCAGAAGCAGCAGCGGCCTATGCTTCCGCCACCAGCTGGTGGCTCGAAGATGGAGCGAAGATCGTCATTGATGAAGTCGGGCTTAATGAGGAGTCAAACCGGGGATTTTGATCACAACAGGTGGTTGTTTGAGACAACTGGGACTTACGGTTACGGAAATGCTTTCTGGACAAAAGATGGAAATTTTGGGACTGAGAAGGACGGGAATGGCCAAGGTATAGGGCCGCAGGATCTGATGAGCAGACCGTGGAGACCGCTTACTCGGAAACTGCCGCTTCCTGCAGCTGTTATTAGTTCTTANAGGTGAAAAAGTTTGTTCTTAGTCCATACTATCGCCATTTGTTCAAAACTTTTACTGACACATTAGATTTTCTCGTGCAGGCTTTTGATTATTATCCGAATTGTTGTTCTTACGCTGTTCTTGATGTGGAGGATTAAGCACAAAAACCAAGATGCAATATGGCTATGGGGGATGTCTGTTGTTTGTGAGCTGTGGTTCGCTTTGTCTTGGCTTCTTGATCAGCTTCCAAAGCTGTGCCCTACGGATCTCAATGTTCTTAAAGAAAAGTTTGAAACGCCTACAC